ATTTTGTCTCAGCAATGAGAGAAAAGTAATCAAGACAGCATCACATCTCCATGAGTCACATCCCCAGTAGGTTACTGGAGAGGACTTCAGGAAGTTCAACTGCATACTGATATGGTGGAAAGCAAACCAAGGGATTTGCACTGATGAAGTAATGAGGATAAGAACTGCAAAGCTAAGATTGATGTACTTGGGAGCTGTGCTCCACAAAACCACCTCACCGTGAAGATGCCTATTGTGTAATGACTCCGACTTTGAGCCTGTGTACCAACAGTGTGTCTGGTGTTGCAAAACTTCCTGAGACCTGCTAGGGCGGCCCACCTAACTCTGCCTTCTTGATCTTGTGCTCAAGCTGCAGACCCCACGTATTTCTTCAGCTGACTGTGTTTTTTTTTTTTTATTTTAACAGAAATTATAACTGGGTGTGGAGGCACACACTTGTAATCCCAGCCCTTGGAAGACTGAGGCAGGAGGATCACTGTGGGTTCGAGGCCAGCCTGATTTACATAGTGAGTTCAAAGCCGTCCTTAACTAATAGTGAGCCCCTGTCTCAAAAAGAAAAAGCAAGAAAAGAAAAAGAAAAAACTCCAAACACATGAAAAAGTTGTAGGCACATATCTGTTGGATATGCACAGGAAAAAAATACAAATGTTTGATTTGACATTTATGGGGTACAGTATGTGTTGTTAGACTGGGTGAACCTCCCATTTGTCACTATTTACAAAACAGTGAAATAAGCAGATGTAGAACAGCAAAATAGCACAATGAAGCAAAAATGACTCAAAGTTCCCCATCAGCCTCTGAGCCCACTGAGATCTGGGCAGTCTGGTTTCCCTCGAGTGAGTACTGGGCTGGTGGCCTCTGCTCACTTATACATGTCTCTCTTCCCAGGATAAGAGAGTCACAGTAGCCCCACCTTTCCACTGACATTAATAGTGTTTTAGCTCAGGTACACTCATTGTGCACATGTGTACAGGTGTGTTGCAGGATAAGGTGATTGTTCAAATCGGGAAAACAGTTTGCTGTGGGACACACAAGGCCATGAGTTCCCATCAGAATACTCCCCATTGCTGCTAGGAACACTTGTCCCATCATTCTTGCCACTTTCTGGAGCAATTCTGGAGCTACTCTTTCCTGAGTGTCTTTAGTTGTACTATTTTGGCTGCCTCCATCAATTTTGAACCTTTACCTTTTTGTGGTAATTTTGACATTGGGGAAGGGGTGGAAGTTGAATAGCTCCAGATCTGGTGAATGGGGTGGATTAGGACACACTGTCATGTTTTTGCAAATCTGTTTTTCTGTTGCATGACCTTGGCAGCAGCATTCACCCTATTTTTTATCACAGCTTGTAAGGACACAAAGACATGAAGGGAGGAGGCCTCTGGAGCTGCTCCAGAGAGTAGTAGGGGTGATGAAATTGGTATGTTCCAAGTAAGGGGGAATTTTTTTTTTGGCTGTGTCCATGTGTGCCTGCATGTGCATGTGTTTTGATGGCAGTTTGTATTTTATTGAATAAATTTTTTTAAAAAATTGAATGTTTTACTCCCGGCCTTCCGGTTCCCTGGAAGGATGCTTCCGGCGCACAGGGAGCTGTGGGCGGGGAGCGCCAGCCTTCGGGCTGGCTAGCTTTCTGCCT